GATAAAGAACACCTGGTTCCTCATATGCAAACAACACAATTCCGGCACTGCCCAGGCCTGTCTATGCAGTAGGCTCCCATTAGAATCCAGAGATTGGTGTGCGGTTTTATTTTTTGTTTCACAGTGCCAGGGACTAAACCAGGGCTTTTGCCCTTAGAGCTCCAGTCTTTTTATTTTGAAACAGGATTTTGCAAAGATGCTGTTTCCTGGGCTGGGCTAGAATTTGAGATCCTCCTACTTCAACCTCTAAGAACACTGGGATTACAGACAGGCACCACCACACATGGCTGCTTTTTAACAAGGTGAGTTTAGGGGACCCAGGTTAGACCTACTCAGCTCCATCCCACAAATGAGGAAAATTCTCCAATTAAGGCATAGACCCACGGTCAGCAGTCATCTGTTCCGCCTAACTGAAGGAGTTCAAGAGCACCCGCTTAACTGCATCTGGGACTCTCCCACAGAGCTCGATTGCTTTCTCTCTACTCACAATAATCCTTCCCTAATCCCTCAGAGCACTGTTGAAATTAAATACAACCACATACCGGAAGCCCTTAGCTCAGCGCTCAGCACATAGCCAGTGCTCAGCACCTGGTGCTTCCATAATAGAATTGCCAGCAGTAGTGTTGGTATTTATCACCTGCTTTGATTTCTCCAGGTGATTAGGTGGCCAAGCTCTGGCCCTGGACCTAAAAGCCTTGCATTCGAGCTTCCTGTGCCAACATGCATGTTTGGTACCACTGTTCCGAACTAAAAGAACTTGGGTCCCAAATGCTCTGGATTATAAGAGTTGATCAGGCAGTGGAGTCCCCTTACCAGCTGAATGTACACCAATGGTTTTCATTTAAATATCTGCAGTCTCCCACCATATTTTCAAGAAGAAAATCTAGTGACCTAGGGTTAAACCTGTAGTCCTGACCAATCAGCCTAGAGGACGTAGGAAGACCTAGGTCTCCACCCACCCGTGCAGGGTGCAACATAAGTCCCTAAAGACTCTTGGTGCTGGACTCACTAAGGCTGGACTCCAGGCCTGCCTGACCGTACTTCTGTTACTTCATCTAAACAGTAAAATGCAATCACAGAAGTGAGACACAGAAATGGAGGGTGTACTGCATCCTGACTGCCTGCTGGGCCAGCTCAGATTCTCAAGGCCATAGAGTTTGGGCTTCTGTCCGCCTTTCCCACAGCAACCCTCTGGCTCACCTCTCACTTCCATCTCTTTTTGCACCCGTGCTCTACGCCCTGGAGCCTGAATGCCAATACTACTCCTCAGAAGCCTGCCTGGATTCTCCTCACTCCCCAGCCATTCTCTTCCGTGCATCCTAAGCACTTGGTGTCTCTCATAAACCACTCTCCTGCTGTACGTGAGAATCTCTGCATTTCCACAGACACTGACTTCCACCCTGCCTCACTCCAAGTCTGGCCTACAGTGTATAGAAGTAGATTGATCGCCCTGGTTCACCTCAAGGAACACCTAGGCAGCCTGCCCCAGTTTGCAGCCTGTCTGATAGCTAAGCCTCGTTACAGCTGTAAATGGCATCATCGTTTAGGAAATAGAGATACTAGTGTCTTTCATTGTCTTGTGCTTCTCTTCGCCACACATTTTAACCCCTCTGCAATGGGGCTGATGAATGGGCAAAGGGTATTCTTTCTTAATAATGTGTGAAATGATGCTGCCTTCTATCAGTGCCACCTCGGAGCTGGTGAAACACAGTATAATCCCCATGTGATGGCTGAGAAAGTTTAGGCGCATGTGGCTAAGTCCCTCTCCAAAGCATACGGCCAGCATGTGCCAGGACAAGGTTTTAAACTCAGGCAACGCGGTGGGTTTGGAATCTGTAGTCCTGACCCAGGTTTCTATGCCCTGCACACTCAAAGATGTCCCAAGTGACCCAGCTGTTCACATCTGTGTGCGATCCCCTTTGCGTCAGGTGAGGCTGCACCTGATGACTGGCTCCCAAGGAGCAGAATACAGCAGAAATAACGGGCTGTCACTTCTGACATTAAGTTCCTGGGGACTCTGGCTCCTGCCTTGTCTTCCCACCTCCGGCCTTCTGTCTCTCCCTCACTCTGAAGGAAGATAGCTGCCCTGTCGTAAACTACTCTTGGGAAGGGTCAGAGGAGTGACAGCCAACAGCCAGCAAGAAACAACAGCCCTCAGTCCAGCAAGCCTCGGGTAGGGGAATTCTGCTGCACGTGGCAGGGGTGGTCTTCGAAGCCCATTCGCCCACAGCAGGACCTGAAAAGCCCTTTGTGGTAGCCTGGGGGAACCCTCAGCCAGAGTCCCGCTAAGCCATGTCCCAGTCTGGGCCCACAGAAACTGAAATAATAAATGTGTGTTTTATCTCATTTAAACCATCATGAGGTTTAAATGATATTAACAGAGGCATTAGCTCCAGAACCATTAAAAATGCTAAAAAAAAATAAATAAAAATAGTAGTTAGAGCCAGAGGAGAAGGAGGAAAAGGCAGTGCGACCTGGTCCCTTGGCCTGCACTCCTCACTCCACTGGTAATGTGTCACACAACCATGAGCAGCACCAGGTGTTCATGCTATGTCAGGCCCAGAGACACAGATGAAAGCAGTGCACCTCCAAGGATTGCCTGGTCCACTGGGGGACGGCACATGCCTGTGCTAGTGCTGGGCAGGCATCGGAGGCCTGCAGAGCCACATGTTGAAGGGTGAGACTGCTGGCCATGTGAGGAGGTCGGGCGGCAGGGGAAGGAAGGGTAGGAATGCGTGTTTTCTTCTTTCCTCAGTGGATGGGAGAGGGTAAAGATTATGGATTTAGCAAGTGTTCTGCATCAGTGCACTTGACACGCACCCAGGCAAGTGATTCAGTCCAGCGCGTCTCGGAGGGGTGTGAATCAGCAGGCTCCTCCTGATGTAGGCCTGGGAGAAGGGATTCAAGACTGCCTGTGCCCAGGCATGGGCACTGCAGAGTGGGTGACAGCCAGTCTCTGTCTTCAAACTGGCTTGGAGGTTAAACACAGGAAGGTGGGCAGGGTTGCAATACACAGGTTTGGGCATGCGATGGGATCTGTGTTTGGGACAGGTTCAGGCAGAACATCAGGCTCCTTACTTTTATAGCAGGAAGCAGTAGCTGAGCTTGACAGACCTGAGAAAGCCTTCCCTCAGACGGGAATGGTGATGTACACGTGTAATTCCAGCACTTGGGAGGCTGAGGCAGAAGGATCACAAATTGGAGCCCTGCTTTCGAAACTTAGGACTTGGTGAGACCCTGCCTCAAAATAAAAAAAATCAAAAAGTCTGGAGAAAGCAAGAGACCCTTTACCAAGAATAGCCCAGAAACAGAGGGAGAAAAGGGCCAAGACCACATCCAGGGGATGAAGATGGGATGGACCAGGAGTCGTAGCCAGCACCTCCCTGACTGTCCCTACTAGTCTGTGTAGCAGCCCAATCGAGGAGGACACAAGGCTCCTGGCTCCTGTCTTGCCTCTGTCACCAGCACTGGAATAGGAGAGTAGAGTGATAGAAACATAGACTTCAAAGTGGGAGTCCCAGTACCACCACTTACCAAAGATGCTCTCTGGCCAGCTGCTTGCTGTCTGCAAGCCTCACTTTCCCAGTCTATAAAAATGGAACAGCTTGGGGCTGGGGATTTAGCTCAGCGGCATAAGCGCCTGCCTTGCAAGCAGGCAGTCATGAGTTCCATCCCTGGTACCGAAAAAGACAAAAAAAAAAGGAACAGCTTGAGCATGGTGGTGCATGCCTTTAGTCCCAGCTAGCCAGGAGACTGATGCAGGAAGATCATTCAAATTGAGGAGTTTTTTTGATTTTTGGTACCAGGGATCGAACTCATGACCTTGCACTTGACAGGCAGGCATTTGTGCCACTGAGCTAAATCCCTGGCTAAATTGAGGAGTTCTGAGGGCAGCCTGGGCTACATAGGAAGACCTTCTTTAAAAAAAAAAAAAAAAAAGTAATCTGGGTGTGATAACACATGTCAGTAGCTCTAAGACTCTAGGAAGCTGAGGCAGGAAGACCAAGAGAGTTCAACCCAGTCTGGGCAACTTAGCAAAATCATATCTCTAAATAAATACATAAATTGATTAATTAATTTAAAAACAGGACTGGGGATGGTAGCTCAGTGTTAAGATGCCGGTTTCAATTCCCACTACCACATAGATCAAATCGAATCAAATGCAATCAAATCTCTTCCTCAGATTAACATAATGTTTAAATGAAATCCATGGAGGAATTAGCTGCAGAACCAGAAAAATGCTCAAGACTAAAAAGAGTATGACTCAGAGGTGTGAGGTCCCTTCAGCCTTCCAATCCTCTGATTCTAGGGAATCTGCTGGCCCAGCCTAAGACCTCTCCTTTTTTCCCTGTCTTGTGGGACAGAGCTGCTGGCAGTTTTGCTTTGAAGGGTAGCTACCTTCACAATTTCACTTTCTTCCTTTTTTTTTTTTTTTTTTTTTTTTTTTTTTTTTTTGAGATAAGCTCTCAATATGTAGTCCAGAGGGTCCCTGAACTTGGTATCCTTCTGTTTCAGTCTCCCACATGCTAGGGTTATAGGTATACCCCCCAGCTCAATTTCAGCTTATAACCAAAATGACCAATCTTATAAATAGGCTGACCAAGAAAGAAAAGTTTACTGCTCATAATGAATGTCACGAACTCTTTTTTGGAGAGGCATTGCTATATGTATGCCGGATGTGCCGTGCTGGAATATTAGGAGCAGAATGAGGCCTGGAAGAAATTCCAGGCTGGAAGATCACAAGTTTGAACCCAGGCCTGAACCACTTGGGGTCTTAGCAAAAAAAAAAATTAAAAAGTTGGGCATGTAGTTCAATGCAAAGGCCTGGGTTCAATTCTCCAGTAACTGATAAATTATAAAAAGCACCAGTCCCTTGGTCTGAACTCTTTGCCCCAGAAGGTGAGGTAGTGGTGGTGAGGGTGACTCAGAGATGCTCAGCCCATGGCTTGCCCTTTGGTTTACGATGGCCACCTCAGCAGTGCCAACCTTTGCCCCCAGGAGATCAGCTGTCTGACCGGTGGAGGCGGCAGACCATCTGGGAGGCTCGCCAGTGCCAAGGAAGCCTCCAGAGCTATGGGAACCGGGTTACGCAGCCGCTCCTTTCGAAGCCCCCGGTCCTCCTATGGGAAGCTCCAGGAAGGACAACTCCGGCGGACACTGAGCCTCCGGGAGGGCCGTCACAAGGGCAGGCCCCAGGACCTGGATGGAGGCCCAGAAGGGCTGGAGTCCCCTGCTCAGGAGTGGCTGCCCGGGAGACTGGAGGACACCGATCAGCTGATCCAAGCCCAGCGAGGTGCAGGCAGCCGACAGTGGCTGAAGCAGTACCAACAGGTACACTGAGGGCTGGAGGAAGGGTGGCACCATGGCAGGAGAGAGGAGGGTTCTGGGAGAGGCACCAGGGCTGCAAAGGTGGTGCAGGGTGGACACACATAGGCTACGGAACCAGGAAAAGAGCACAGCGGTCTGGACGCAAAACTGCAGACAGAGGCACCCAAGGGTCACCTTCAGAGCGCCCTGAAGATGTTGGAGATTTTCCCACGGGCACTGGGGAGTCATGCAGATTTTAGGTTGGGGATGGGTGTGCGTGTGATGTACTCAGGGTGTTTTAAAACTTTCCATATACTATGTAATGTAGTATGTTGCATGGGTGACAGAACAGAAGGCAAGGAGGGCAGCCAGTAATGTCCCAGGGTGTCATTTTATTCCTCTCTTACCCTGGGGAAAAGGAAAAATCCAGACTGCCTTGGGAGAGGTATGGGGCTGCTGGCCCTGCTGGTAGGAGAAAGGGTCACAGGTGAGGGGCACTTCTCCCTGGGGTCTACCCCCACCTTGTGGCTGTTTGTAGAACAGCACCCCAAGCCCACCGCTCAGCCCTGGCTCCTCATTTCCCTCAACCCTGGTCTTCCAGCAGGTGCGGAGGACGTGGCAGAGCTTTGTCACCAACTTCTCCCACGTGACTTTGAGTCAGTCGGCCTCCCCAGAGCCCCCACTGGACACCACTAGCTAGCAGTGTTGGAGGATGCCCCTTGCTGACCCTGCCTCTTTGCAGCTCTTCTGGACTCTGGACTGCACCGGCCTGTGTCACGTAACCCAAGGAGCCACCCCACAACCTCCACCACCCACCCCCAGTTCACTGGGAGCCCCATGCGGCTGCCCCAGGCCATGACCCTCTCTCTCCAAGGCTGGGTCTCAGCAAAGACCCCGGTGGGGCTGAAGGGAAGTGGTCGGCTCTGTGCCCTCTGGGCTTAGAGCTCCCAGAACACATGAGATAGCTCTTAGGAGCCTGCCTAGAAGTGAGGGTATCAATGCTCCCAGCCCCATGTAAGACCCCACAAGATCAGTTACCACTTCCAAGACAGAGCTTGAGGAAGCCAGACTTGTGGCTGAGATGCTCTTGGATGGATGTCATTTGGTCACAGGGCCACCACTTGCTGCTGGGTCCCCTCCCAAACAGTGAGCCCACTCAGGCAAGGACCATGTCTGGGAGGCTCTCAGTGCTGGGCACCCACTGGCCAACAGACCCAGCCTGTTTGTTGTTGCCTTCAGGCCTCAAAGTATCCCAATGAAGGAAGCAAGGGGAACATTTCCTCTTGATGTGACAGAGGGGAAACTGAGGCCCAAGGTGGAAGGGATCTGTTAATTTTGTCTTCCCTCACCCTACCCACGTCAGTGCCCAATATCGGCGCTAAACACAGGAATAAAGATCTGTTGCACTGAAGTGAATGAGTTGTCCGGTGACTGAGATGAGGCCCTCGGGCCACTCCCACTGCTGTGAGCCTGGGCCCTGAGCCCAAGCAGGGCTTACTTTGAGGCTCAGAGAGGCATAGGGGCTCGTCCAGGGATGTGCAGAGGGAGAGGGGGGACTGACCTCCAAAGAACCTGAGCTCTTTGAGGGATACCAGCGCCTACTGCAGGATCCTGGGGCTTTCCTAGCTCCAGCAGACCCACAGTTAAGAGACAGGGAGTGGCGAGGCCTCACCATCCTGGTACAGGGTCTCTTTGGGAATTGAGGAGGTACAGCAGAAATAGAGTGGATCTCCTTGTACCTCCAGAACCGAGAACCCTGGCAGGAGCACTCGGGAACAAGAGAGGTCTAGGGGAAATGCTGTCACAGCCACTTACATGCCAGTTTGGAAGCTAGACAGAGCTGAGCAGAAGCCTCCAGCCCTATTAGGTGCTGACTTCAGTTGCTCCCAGCTCAGTCCTTTTTGTAGCAGTACTAGGGGTGCCTTGGGGAACCCCGGGTCTCCAGGAAGCAGCTTGTACTCACAGCCCTGCCAAGCCATCTCAGGGTCTGCAGGAGGAAGCTGGGCCAGGCCTCTGCTCTCTGGGCCTGTCCTGGCCTCTTTGTCCCTAGAAACAAGCCCTGTGATCCTGTCTAATCCATGTCTGTCTTCCACCAGGCCAAAAGTTGCAAGGAACCTACCTGGTTTTTCCACCGGGATGCCAGGGTCACATTTTAGGGTTTAGGCTTTAGACCTGGTGTTTAGTAGATGCTCGGTAAATGATTATTGAGTGAATGTCAAGGGACAAGCTCAAGGTCACACAGGGAGTTGATGGCTGAGCTGGCCTGTAGTTCATGATCTGGGTGACTCTCACTTAGGGTGACTCTCACCTACAGTCCCACTAGTAATCCTGTGGGCAGGCAGGTAGTCCTTCAGCAGGGTTCAGCCTGTTAGGAAACTGGTTCCCAGCTGTAAGTGATACAGGACATGAAATACAAAAATATTATATTTCCTAACTTGTTAGATGTCTGATACAGCAAGATTGGATTCTCTAAAAATCAAAGAATGAATTCTAGGAGCAATGGAAGTTAATAGTAAGAAGTATTTATTGAGAGGGAGAGATATAGCTCCTGAGAGGGAAGAGGAGGCCCAAATTGGTTGCTGAGGACCCTACTTTAAGGGAAATATTATGGAGCAATACCCACATGGGTACGATGTGGATTACAGCTGTGATAAATCAATAAGGATACAAGTATAATCACTTCGGCAGCAGTGATCCAACGGGAAACAAGGATGCATGGAAAGAACAAAGACTTTTTCTAGGAAATCAAGGGACTGGAGGTTTTGGTCACCCACTGGGGTGACTGATGTCTATCTAGGTTTCATTAGGCCTAGTGTTTGTCCTTTAAGGAAATGCACAGCCCTGTTCATTTTGACTTTATCTTGAGGCCTGATCTCCAACAGATGTGTCTCTGGCCACAGTTGAGATGCGTTTCACTTTTGCCCTGGCTTTCTCAAGGACCCAGCCTTATTTGACTGCCTATAATATTTCTGCCTAGCTAAGCTGTCTATAATAAACTGTCTCTGAAGAGGTATTCCTAACCTGTCATGAGGGGGCAGTGGGCCATGACTGTCCTGGCTTCTTCAGCCTGAAGGGAGTCATAGTTATGATTGGATAGAGAGACTCTCTCAGAGGATCTAAATAAAGGCCCTCGGTAGATGTCAGGTGTTCTCATTTTGGGCATGCACATAGCTTTAAGTCTGGAGGGGAAAAAGCTAAAGAAACAATTAAGTACATGGGCCAGACAAAATGATCTACAAGACTATAATGGATATAACCAACAAATGTTTCCACCAGGAAGATCCAGTTAATCGCCTTCCATAAAGAGGATAAAGAGAAGGTCCAGGGAATTTCAGAATCTGATAAGGCCTGAATCTGTCATCAAACATCTTGCAGCCCTCAAGATATCAGCAGAAGGATCAGGAATATATGCACAACATTCAGCTTTTATAATTGCACAAGTACTCCTTGTGCTGTTGACAAGATGTCTAAGGCCATTCAGTTTTAGAGGACAGCTTCCCTCGTTAAGTTTACTTCTCATTTAGGGGACAGAGAGATCATTTGAGGTGTCATTTAAGGCCTGTTGAGTATAGTTGGTCAAGGCCTTGATGTACTGCATAACATCTTCTAATCCTAGGAAAGGGACAAAGATAGGCCAAAGGATCATTCTAGTGAAACAGTCTTCTTGACTATCGATGTTATAGAAAAATATGCAGGTTTGTGAATGTTTTTGACACTCCTGCCTTGTAGCCATATGAATCTCAGTGTGTGTCTCCCTATCAACCCTGGGGATAACCAGGACCATGAACTGGTTCCACAAGACCAATAAGTGCCACTGGGAACTTCTCATCTAATTCCAGGGTGACTAAACTAGTCACTTGCAAATCAGCCTTCAACCTGGAAAGTTACAGTTTATATACATTGCTCGGGGAGTGTTCATCCCAGGAATTTAGTAGAGTTGGGCCAATGAGAATAGGAATTATTTCTTTGTTCCCAGCATAAGGGGGCCTTCCTACCAAGTTGCCCTATAGTTGGAGATAACCATATATAATCATCCCAAATCTGAAAATAGCCATCTTGATATTTATGCTTGTTGGCTCTCATGATAGGACACTTACTTTTTCTTCAATAGGGGTTTTACTGGTACCTGTAAAGATGCTTCAGTAGTAATTTTAGAAAAGGTCTGAAAACGTACAGGATCATTAAGGGTGGAGTTCATAGGCCACTCGGTTATCTTGTAATGGTGGGCTAAACTATGAATATTTGTGCCTAGCTTAGCTGTCTATAATATAAGGAAGGCAGAAGGCTGGCTCAGGGGCTCCTAACCTGTGTTGCCACACTTAATTCAGTAATCATTCCTGGAGAATTTTAATACTGAAACAGTGAAAGGGAGGAGGGAGGAAAATCGTTTCTGGAGGAATCGCCGTGGACACTGTTTTGCTCTGTGCCAGGTCACTGAGGGGACAGTATGTTAAGCGTTTCAGAAAAAGAGCTAAACTACCTGGGTTTGAATCCAGACTGTGCCATCTGGTGGTTTGTGATCCTAGGAAAGTTACTTACCTTCTTGGTCTCAGTTTCCTCATTTTAGCTAATAACAGCATGCAGCTCCCAGGGTCCTAGGTAGGACCCCATGGATGCAGGTTCTTAGAGTGATAAAGGAAAAACTGTCCTCCAACCTAATACAATACCCATGACAGCCACTCAGGGTGGGCATGATCAGCCTTGTTCTATAAGTGAAGGAATAAAGATGCAAAAAGTGAAGTGACCACTCAGAGGCCACGCAGTGAAGACAAGGTGAGGTCTGGGCCCAGGCTCACGTCAAATCCTGAGATTGCTGGGGTTTCATGATGGAACATCAGTCTGGAGTGTGGACTCTCAGGGAGCCCCAAGACCCCCAATCCAGACTTAGGGATCAGAGGCAGCTTGGCAGGGTGGCGGGGAATAACACCTTCTTTAACATTTCAAACTTCTGCAGGCACTTGTGCCTGCTGTTACCTCCTGCCCCCTCCCAGTCATCCTCCCACTCTGTTCCCACACTGCAGCCACACTGATCTTTCTAATCATGGAATTCCTGGTCCCTTGTCACCTCAGGGCCTTCATACATATGGTTCCTTTTCCTAGAATATTATTTTTTCTCTCTATCCTTTTCTAATTTATTTTCTCTTTGCCCTTGGCTCAAATGTCATCCCTGTGCCCCCCAGGCTGGCCTGGTCTCTTTGCTATATACCCACCCCAAATCCTGGGTTCCATCCTCAGAGCAGTTAGAAGTCAGGTATGAAATGGGTTGATGGTGATTCCCTTAAAAAAAAACAAAAACAAACAAACCAAAAAAAAAAAAAACCAGGCTTTTCTGATAAAGAGGTTGATTTTATCTTAATACAATGACAATTATTCTCATTAGAGGGACATACAAAGGAAAAAATGCAGCAGAACAGAGGAAAGGCAATTTGAAGCTGAAGACAAAGTTCATAGTGACAACAAACCAGTAAGTTGAAGATTGCCATCAGCCACCAGAAACTAGAGGAGATGACAAAAGATTGTCTCCTGTAGCCTGGAAAGAAAGCATGGCCCTATCAACACTTTAATTTTAAACTTCGGTCTCCAGAGAAAATCCCTTTCATTTATTGTAAACCTTTGAGTTTGGGGTAACAACAGCTACATGAAGTTCACAGTGTGTTTGGAGGGGTGGTTAGACCTGGAGGAGAGTCAGATATTAAGTCCTGTAGTTCCATATGCAGCATAGAGGAAATCTGTGGCAAGATGTGACCTCCAATAGGCTTGGTGGCCCCGCCCCAAAGGCACTTCCAGTGGTTATAACTCCCATAGCTTCTCTTTTGGGCTTTCTCTGCTCCCTCCTTGTAGTTTTCCTCAGATGACCCATATTCCTGGCTTCTCCAAACTTTGAAAGTCTCTGCTTCACCTCAGATTTCACACTTACAGCTTCACGCACTGCCCTCTCAGGGTAACACTGCCTGGCCTCCTGAAATCTGGGTGGAAGCCTTCCTGAGCCCACAACTCTTCCATTCTGCATGTACCTAAAATCAGTGCCTCATGGATGATGCCAAGCTCTGCTGCCAGCAGGAGAATAACAAGGCTTCCCTCTCTCTTGGCTGTGGGATTGAGTTGCTAAGCACTCTCAATCCAATTTCAAGGAACAAATTCTCTAGGTCTCTGCCATTCTGGAACATGGTGTTGTGGGACTTTCTTCTCAAAGCAAAGTCTTTCACTTTCACAGTTTTGAAGCTAAAAATTGTGGAGTCCTGATGCTTCATGTGATGCCATCAGGCAGGCTTCTATTCCTTATCAGAAATCAAGATCTCCTCTGATCTATCTTTGCAATCCACAGCTTTACTGTAACTTCCTTTCTGACCAAACTCATAATGTTTTAAATCATTCTGCTGGCTTTTTGCTCTTGATTCTCTTAATAAATCTAAAAGCCCCCCAAAGTAGCCATGCCACAACTTCAACATTCAGCTGCCTTAAAATTCTGCCAAATTAATTATTCCACTGCCCTTAATTTCAGTCTCAGGCAAAGTCTCTGGACATGAGCAAAATGCTGACGAACTTTCTGCCAAGCCATAACATACATTGTCTAGAGTCCAGAAGCCAATTCAGTCTTTCTTCCCATCAGAAACCTCTTTATCCAGTTCTTACTGGATACAGCTTCAGGTATTCCAACTTAACTTTTTCAGCCAGCATCTCTGAACCTTTCCTAATTCTATCCCATCCCACAAGCCAGTTCCAAAGGCTCTTCAGTCACATAGCTAGAAAATGTCACAGCAATGACCCCACTTCTCTGGTAGCAAACTCTATCCTATCTCTCAGTCTCTCTGTCTCTCTCTCCTCTCATTGCTTTTGCTGTCTTCCACCTGCCACAAACTTTTGTCCCTCTGCCATGGAGCCAGCTGATGATGGACTAACACCTCTACAAACTGAGCTAAATAAACCTTTCCCCCTTCAACTTTATTGTGTTATTTTGATTTGTACCAGGACTTGAACTCAAGGACTTTTACTTGCCAAGCAGGCACTTGTGTCATACCCCTTTGACTTTGGACATTGAGTATTTTGTCTCATCAATGAGAGAAATGTATCTAAGACACTTGCCAAGCACATTGTGCACTTCACAGATCTTCCCTAAAATATAGCATCCACAGAGACATCCTTGGTGCTGGTGGTCACCATGGTCCATGCAGAGGCACAAGGCAGAGGTCTGAGCTTCTCTCCTCACCCAGGCCAGTGCCAGCCTAATAGCTGAGTCTCAGTTTCACACTTCTTTGTTCTAATTCAGCCATGCAGGCCAAGAGGTCTCTGCTAGTCTTCTTGGGGGTCCAAGCAGTGAGCCAGGAGCTAAAGGGACCTGAGTACCCCTGGCTCTCCCCACTGAGCTCCAGTCTCTTCTGATTACCATCCCTACCTCATGCAACTGTTCTGCTATGTTTCCAGGACTGGAGAGCTCCCTACTTATCCAGAGCTGATCATTACATGTGACCTCTGCCCTTGAGAAGCTCATAGCCTGGCTAGGGAACAGACAGACAGACAGATGGCCACTGCTCTGCTATGAAGCAGAATGGGATGAATGTTCACTGGGGCAGCATGGTGAGAGAGATTCCTTGGAGATGCTGATTCCTGAGCCAGTGTGACACTCTGGGCTTGGCTGAACCCTCTTCCCCCAGCCTCCTGAAAACCTCCTGCCAGGGAGAAGGCTGTGAGCAAGTAGAAAAAATACCTAGCAGGAAAAATAGGGCTGCTTGGCTGCACTAATGGGGAATGCAGTGAGGCGAGCAGAAAACACTCAGTCCCCAGCCTGTCTCAGAGCCAGGCTGCAGATGCAGGCTGGAGGTCCCTCGAGTCCAACAGATCCAACACTCTTTCCCCATTGAGCGTGGAGCTCAGTGTGTACAGCCCAGCAAGGAGCCAGCAATGAGGGTCAGGCCTGAGTGTAAGCCTGTGGCCCAAGCACCTGCCCCGTAATTGCTCTTGGGTAAATTGCCCTGCTCCTCTGGCCTTCATTTCCCCTCTGTAAAGTGGGGATGCTGATCTCTGTTTCCTTTGGACAGAGGGGCACATGAGATGTCAAGTGTGCAAAAGCTTGGCAAGCTTCAAGGGTGCAGCCTCCTAAGAGAGACACTTTACTCCAATCTTCTCATGACCCTCATTAAGCTGGAGAGCAATTTGTAAAAGACCTGAGGCCAGACCCTCTAAGCTTGAATCCTAGTTCCACTACTTACAAGCTGGGTAACATCAGGCAATCCCTTGACCTCTCTGTGTATTGGTCTCTTTGTTTGTTTGATAAAAATAGCAGTCCTCTTTACACGGTTATTTTATTGCCTGAGTCAATGCACACAAAACAATATAGGGTGGTTCATTAGCCCCTGGTTCTCAGTAGCCGCTTCCAGGGAATTCTCCCCCTGTGACCTTGGGCAGGTCTCAGTCTGAACCTCAGAGGCTGCCTCTGGAAAATGGGGCTGTTAATAATAGCTCCTGGCTTGAGGCCACCAAAGGATGAGACGGGCCAAGCACACAGTGTGCTGAGTGAAGGCCAGCTCAAGGAAATGCCCACTCACCAAGGACAGCCTGGGGAGCCCTGCGTGTCCCCAGCTCACCTCAGCTGTACTCAGCTCACCTCAGCTGGGTGTGACAGGGAGGAGCCCTGAGGATCTGGGAAAGTGGGCCAACAGACTAAATGGCTGCCCTGAAGCCTCCCAGGAAGGGCCTCCACTTAGAGCGTGCGACGGAATAGGACTCACAGGACAGGGCATGGGAGGAAGCTGCTCCATCCTCACTGTCTCCTCAGTCACCAAGGCTGCCGCTGGTCCTCCCCTCCCCTAACCAGCCAGGCCCCATCTCCCTCTTTGAACCCCAGGCACAAGCAGTTAACCTGAGCATTTTTTGCTGGGTGAACTTTAGAGAGGCCAAGAGGACTCATCCCTCTCCAAGAGGCCACCAGGAGTCAACCCCAAGGATGACCCACACTCTAGCAGCCACTTGGGGTACAAGTGTCTAGAAAAGGACAGAGTTAGCACTATGAGTATAGGCACCTGGAAAGGTCACCTGAGAAGAGGGTAATCTTAACCCCCGTGGCAGATCAGGAGGGTGCCCAACAGGAGAAAGAACAGAGGCAAAAGCATGGTGACCCAGGACAGCCAGGATATTGGGGAACTATGTGAAACTCATAACTTTTGCTAGGGAAGAAGTGGCAGTGGGAGACAGAAAGGTGGGCAAGGACCACTTTAAAAATACAAGAATATCATCAAATAAGCAATTTGGCAATATGTGCCTCCTGCTGGGAGAAAGCTATCACAGTCTGGCCCTAAAAGTCACAGCTGAATTTTATCAAACTTCCATATCCAAGTCCCAATTTCCAAGAACCCCCAGGGACAGAGAACATGTTAAACTACACCATGGGGCTGCAATTACCAAAATACGGATTGTAGGGACCTCTACAGCACAAACAGTTTAGGTTTTATTCTGCCATTCCATCTCCAGCAAATAAGTTTCAAAGGAAAAAAGGAGAGATAGAGTGGGAAACTCTAAATTAAAGGAAGACTGAAAAATTAACCAATTATAATGTGCTAACTTTATTTACAGCAAACATACTTTAAAAGAAGAGGTAAGGAAAGAAAAAAGAAAAATGATGAAATATTTAGAATTTCAACATTAACCAGATATTTGATAATATGATATGACTTTCTTTTTAGGAATGGAAATTATATAGTCAACCTTCTGTATCTGTGGATTCAACTGCAGATCAAAAACATTTGGGGAAAATTACATCTAGATCGAACATGTACAGACTTTTCTTTCTTGTCATTATTCCTTAAAGAATATAGTGTAACAACTATTTATCCTGTATTTGTATTGTATTATATATTGTGCATAATCTAGAAATGACTTAAAGTATACAAGAGGAGGCTGGGCATGGCGGCACAGGCCTGTAACTCTAGCACTCACAAGGTTGAAGCAGGAGGACCAGCATGAGTCCAACCTGGGCTACATAGCAACCTCAAAGCCAACCTGAACTATATAATGAGATCATGTCTCAAAAAAAAATGTACACAGGAGGATGTGCATAGACTATATGAAAATACTGCACCATTTTATACAAGGGACTTGAGCATTCTCAGATTTAGGTAGCCTGGGTAGCCTGGAACCAATTTTCCAAGGATATTGCAGAACAATTATAGTAGTCATATTAAGAAAAGATTCTTCCATTTTTTAGATTTTTAAAAACTTGTATAGATGGCACCATGCAACGTCTGGGACTTTCTTGGAAGGTGAAGGAAATGGACTTTTGAGAATGTAGATGAGCAGATCAGCCCTGAGTTAACACTGCCCAGGCAGTAGATGAGGTGGGGGAACCTAATTTGACACATATGTTTCTCACAGAGCGGTTTGAAAAGCAACAATCTCTACAAGTCCTGACCATGTGGAAATGGCTAACACTTGGCTAATGAACTCTGTACCCCAACTTACCTCCCTGGATAGGAGGCTATCCAGGGGTACAGGGTGCTAGGAACCACTGTGAGATGGCTCAAAAAGGGCTCATATGACAATGAAGACACTGTTGTCAAAAATGTCTGTGAAGGGCCTGTGTACAATTGTTTTAAAAACTGTGTCTGGGCTGGGGTCATAGATCAGATTTGCCTAGCATATCTGAGGTCCTGAATTCAACCCTCAGCACTGAAAAAATGACAAAAATAAATAAAACAAGTAAAAATCTGTATACGTTTATATAGTATCCACACCAGGACTGCGGCTGCATACTACCATTCTGTTGGCCTGGCTGTTGTTGTTGTTGTCTTTATCCCTGACTGTGCCCCTCAGTGCTGATTCCATCCCCACCACATGGGGGGGGGGTGCTGCTACAAAGAGGACTCAGGACCTGGAACTTATCACCCGGAGGATCAGAAGGCAGGAAGGATATTTGGAGTTACAGCCAACTGGATGTGGCCAGAAGTTAGCTCTGTATATTTGGAAACCTGTGGGCAGCATTTATTTGCTAGGAAGTCTGGGTCCCTTCCCCTGTTGATCCCAGAAGCCACAGTGGCCAAAGGACACAAACTGGAGAAGGGCAGGAGTGGGCAGTTTGAGGTGAGGGCCGAGGCCAGGGATTGGCACGGTGGGTGAGAAATAGCTGCAGACGCAGTGGTGTCAGAGGTGGCCTGGGCAGAGGGGGGATCTGGCAGAGCCACCATTTGCTAAGTGGACTTGGACAAGCATCTATGGACTTTGCTTGTGCACATAAACACACGAGCCCTCACTCTGTCTCTTGCCATCTCAGTGTGGCTAATTTCTGGAAGAGTCTACTTTCTCAGTGACAACATGAAAACAGTAATAGGACTGAGCTATGGCTTGTCCTGAGGTGTCCAGGAGCACTTGCTACCTATGACCTGCAACTGCTGCTGCTTGGTGTCCAGTTTCAAAGCCTTCTGTACAAAAGGCACTATAAACACAGCTAACGAAATTCAAGCCAGGTGTGGTGGTGCACACATGTAAGCCCAGCATTCTGGGAAGATAATGCAAGAGGATCAAAAGTTCAAACCCGAACTGACCAATCAATTTAGTGAGACTCTGTCTTAAAAAAAAAAAAAAAAAAAAAAAAAAGTGGGGGCAGGCTGCAGATACAGTTCAGTACAAAAGCCCTGGGTTTAATACCCAGCATTTAAAAACAAAAAAGATGAGATAAGAGTAAGGCATTAAGGGATGCTCTCTCAACCAGGTGATAAAGGTCAATCTTGACAGTGACAAAAATGGCACTTTCTGTGTGATTTTTCTCCCAAAACTCATAATATCAGTTATTTTATTAGTTTATTAATTTTGACAAATGTACATCAATTTAAGAGCCAATAAAAGGGACCCAGAAACAATGGCACATGCCTGTAATCCCAGCTCTCAGGAGGCTGAGGTAGGCCAGATTGTCATGAGTTCAAGGCCAACCTGAACTATATAGGGAGACCCTGTCTCAAAAGAAAAAAAAAAGAATGCTAAAAGGAAAACAGAGTGAAGTACATGTCTTCACAATTTTTCTATAAATCTAAAACTATTTTAGGGGCTGGGGATTTAGCTCAGCAGCATAAGCGCCTGCCTTGCAGGCAGACAGTCGTGAGTTTGATCCCTGGTACCGATAAAAACGAAAAAGACAAAAAATAAAAATAAATAAAACTATTCTAAATTGATATATTTAAAAAAGAAAAAGCCACGCATCATAGCACAAGCCTGTAATACCAGCACTTAGAAGGCTGAGGCAGGAGAATCTCTCTGAGTTTGAGGCCAGCCTGGGCTACATAGTGAGTTCAAGGCCAGTCTGCACTCCCTAGAGATCCTGTCTCCAAAAAAAGTGCTTTTTAACAAAGATCAACAACCTACATGAAAAACGAGCAAAGGAAAAAAGGCAGATGCACAGAAAGGAGAAAGGTAGGTCAATACACCTGAAGAGATGCCTAGCCACCCAATAACAGGGAAATGCAATCAAAACAGCAAAGTGTTGTCATTTTCTTCCTAAATGATTGGCAAAATTGGAGCTGATCACTGGTACCTGATGTTGCTGGGGTTTAGGAACATGTGGGCAGGAGTGGCAACTGCTACTGTTGTGTTTTTTGAGACAGGGTCTCACTATGTAGGTCAGGCTGGCCTTGAACCTACTATGGAGCCCAGGCTGGCCTGGTCCTCCTGCCTCAGCCTCCTGAGTGTTTGGATTATAGGCATGTGCCATCATTCTCGGCTTTAACAATTTGGTTGTAACTTCCAAGATAAAAGTACACCTGTCCAGTGTGTTCACTAGTGCATTATTTGTAGTAAGAAAAATCAGAAGCAACTTCAGCCCACCCATAGGAGACAATGATGAACCCGCCCACACAGCAGACTGCTTGTCAGTGGCCAAGAGGCATGAGGTGGGCTTGTAGGGCCAAGGACAATCCTCACTGCAATGCCACAGAGCATGCAGCGGGGCTGCCTCACTGGAAGTGTACTTTGTACTTTCTCCAAGTTCGTTGCTCTTATGGTCCTCATTTTACGGATGAAAAAGCTGAGGCCAAGGACTCTCCCGAGGTTATATACTTAGTAAGCGCAAAGTGTGGATTTGAACCCAGACAAACTGGCTCTAAACAACCAACAGTTTACCTCTTTCTCAACAGATATTCTATAATTATATGTACATAATATACAACATATAATTACTTAATATATAAAATAGATGTATCTATAAATACAGATATGTATTTACACAGAGTTGTCCTCAGTATCCAAGGATAATTGGCTCCTCCAGGAGCCCAGAAATATGAAACTCTATTAGAATTAACAAACCAGTTCAGCAGGACACAAGATCAATATACAAAAATCAATTGAACACTCATCCCTTGTACAGTGAAGCTGTCACCAACTAGCGGGGGTCCTTGCGTTGGTGATAATGGAAGTCGCAACAGGATGAGTTCACAAGTGAAAGCTTTAATTGGAAAGTAAGAGAAAGTGAATTTTAGCTTGAAGAACTGACAAAGATCATGCTGTCCCCATAAAGAAAAAAACAAGAGAAAGTAGCAAAGGGCTCCAGCTTGAGCAGCTGGGCAGGGTATACTGATGAGGGTCACCCTGGCTGGTTCACGAAAGAACAGAGACCAGTATCACAGGGCACTGCAGTGGGCTGGGAACCAGATCATTGTCTCCATCGTGGTTTTAGAGCTCAGAAGAAAGCCACATGGCTTCAGGGACAACCCAGTCTCATGAGATGATTTCTCTGTTTGGAGTCGTCTCAGCCATGTGGGGCTCTGCTGGAACCCAGGTGACCCCGGGTTTGCAATTTTGGGCAGCATGTGGGGTGCAGGGCACAGGGGAGGGTGGGGCTCTGGAACAGAGAGCTGTAAAACCTGGTAACTACATGACACTGTAAATCTTGAAAATTTCTTTAGCTACTATTGGAATTTGCAATCTTAAAAGGAGATGAGATGGGCTAGGTAAATTTAGAGCTAATAAACCTTGTCTTGCCATCTTTTTGGTATGGAAATTGGATCCAGGACCCTTGCACTGAACTACATTCCCAGTCACTACCCTTCCCCCTTACATTTTGAGACATAGTTTTGCTAAATCATTAAGTTGCTCCGGCCGGGCTCAAACTTTCAGTCTATCTCAGCCTCCCAGAATGCTGGATTACAGGTGGATACCATCATGCCTGGCTGTTTTGCCAACTTTTCCCAAATGGCTAACATACTTAGATCCAAAGTTTTAAGGAAATAAAGGTTACAAATGAAGGTCAAACTTGGTTGTGCTCTTACTTACCTATTGGGCATCTGTACATCCAAGTGAGGAGTCATGGGTATTAGCAAAAACCACTTTTATGACCGTGACTGCCTCAGGAGAAAACACAAATCATGTTTTTAATAAGTAACAGTTTAAGGGCGCAGGAGTTTGCCCTTTGCCCTAGTGGTCTGTGTGTCACCAAAAACCTACAGAGAGATGCTCAAGTCCTTTATAGAAAATGACATAGTATTTGCATATTAACTTACACAATCTTTCCATATACTTTAAATGATTAGATTACTAATAATACTTAATACAATGTAAATAACTGTTCTTGCCAGGCATGGTGGTGCACACCCATAATCCCAGTACTCAGGAGGCTGAGGTAGGAGGATTGCCAGGAGTTCCAGTCAGCCTGGGTTACAAAGTGAGTTCAAAGCTAGCCTGAACCACACAGAAAGACCCTGTCTAAAACAGCACACACACACGATGGATTCAATACTAACTTCCAAATCCAAAAGTTAAACTCCCTGCTTTTTTCATGTGCACCAGCCTTCCACCAATCAGCTGTCAATATGTCATTCTGCCCTTCCCCCCAAACTCCACCCCTTGTCAAAGTGAATAAAATCTCCACTTCTTTATCAGCTCCACAGGGATCTTGCACCCTTCTGCCGCCCTTCCGTGCCCACAATAAAGCCCTCCCCCAACCTTTTTTCCTCTTTATGTCCTTGCTTCTGTACCATGCCAAGGAAAAACCTTCCTATATATATATAATGTATATAATATATATAGCTCTCCTGTGTTGTTCAGGGAATAACAACAAGAAAATGACAAGACGTACATGATCAGTACAGACATAGATCCAACCACACTGCACACAGCAGCAGCAAGCTGACACTGGCTGGCAGAGTCCATGCATGGGGGAGCTGCAGACACAGAGCGTGGTCCCCACATTAATCCATGTGCATATGTGTATCTACAAACACAGATCTGAAAGAATTCCACAGCCCACCAACCTGATAAGTATTTTACCTTCCCAGGGCAAAGGGGGGGGGGTCCTTCTGATCTGTGTAGGAGAAAATTCTTTAGATCTGTGTAGGAGGGAGTGACTTTGACTCTGTGTTTTTGTTTTTTCAGTTTTTCCCTTTCCTTTTACTCTCTACTGCAGCTAGCTGCCCCTAACCAGTAACACAGGGCCCCTCCCCATGACCTGCCTCCGACAAGGCGGCGTGGATACAGAGCAGAAGGAAATCACTGCTCAGTTTGGGGTTTCAAATTAGACTTTTCTAAAGTCTAGATGGAACTGATAGCCTTGAGAATGAGCTTTGCCCCGCAGGAGCTTCCCATTAATTGCTGCCTTCTTAGGGAGATGAAGGCCACAGCTGTGGAGGTCCCCAGAAAGCAGTTTGCACCGGATGCCCAGGAGTGGAAGGAGGCGTTGAGGGAAGGAGGTACCTTTCCCTGCATCCAGCCCCCAGGTGACCTGAGATGTGTTTCCAGACTCCCCTCCCCAGGCCTGGGTCCCCTGGAATACTGGGTGCCTACCAACCTCCAGGAAAGACACTGAGCCAGAACTGAGGCCAAACCAGACCGGCTGGAAGGCTGGGAAAGGGTTTCAGAACTTAGGAAGCTGAAGTTCCATCACCATCCTTGCACCCCCGTGGAGATGGGAGAGCCTCAGGTGTTTCCTGAGCTTCCCAAGGACAGGTGCTCAGACTGAAGGTCCTGACAAAAGAAAAGGAGGCCGTTTCTGCCTCTGTGTGGCCTGTTGACAGAGCCTGGTTGGCAGCAGCAGAGAAAGCAAGGGACTGTAGCCAACATCCCAGAGTCATCAGCAAGAACACCTTGGGCAGGACAGAGAAGTGTGGAAATGAAGCACCCCTTCCTGATGCTGGAGCCACATATAACCTTCGGTGCTTGATGGTCCTGGGAAAGGACCAGGGAGAGAGGATGGTTTCATGATCTTCCAAGGTTCCTGAAATTCAGTGCATGGACACAACACAGTAGAATCAACTAAAATAGTCCAAAATAAAATAGAAAATGGGATCAAGTATGGTAGTCCCTGTCTGTAACTCCAGAATGCTAGAAGGCTGAGACGGGAGGATCACAAGTTCCCCAGCCTAGATGATCCTGTCTCAAAAAAGAAAAAGAATGCTGGTGATATAACCTCAGTGTGAAGGAACTGGGTTCAATTCCTCAGAACCAGAAAAAAAAAAGTATCACAGTACATCTCACTAAATATTGTACTTTAAAGCTTTTGCTACATGATTGTTGATTAAATGTTGCCCCGGTTTTCAAAGCTCAGCAGATTTTCTATTGTTAGCTAAGGTCAAAAATGTGAGGAAGGCATTCTTAAAGATTAAAGTCTAAGAGTAAAAAGAAAATGGCCAGCATTAAATGGGCAATATTGGGGATTTTTCTGTCATAAAGCAGAATCGCAGGCTAGTGAGCTTAGTTACTAGAGACTTAGCGTTACATTTTTCACGCCAGTGTTTGTACAGACTATGCTTAGAATCTTAAACTAGAGCCGTTTGGTTTTGATTTTTGGTGCAGTGGGGAAATAGTGAGTCCTCCAAGTCTGTAGGTTCTGCATCTGCAGATTCTACCAACTCTGGATCCAAATATCTGAAAAAAATTCCATCTGTATCAAACATGTTCAGACTTTTTTCTTGGTATTATTTCCTCAACAATGTAGCAAACAATTATTTACATAACATTTACATTGTGCCAGGCAGTACCAGTAATCTAGAGATGATTTAAATACACAAAAGGATGCACATAGATTATTTGCAAATACCATCACATTGTATATAAGGAATTTGAGTACCCAAGAATCTTGGCATTCTGGGGAAGGTTCTGGAAGCCATCCTCCACGGATAATGAGAGAAGAGTGTAGCTCTATAATTAGAACACTACTCTGTAATTTAAGAAACTTTAGAACTGGGAGTGTACTTCAATGTAGAGTCCTCACTAGTGTGCTCAAAGGCCTGGGTTCAATTCCTGGTACTCAGAGAAATATTTTTTTTTAGCTGGGTGTGACAATGTACACCTGTAATCCCAGCACTTGGGAGACTGAGGCCAGGAAATCACCAGGAGCTTTTAGGTCAGCCTGGGCTACAGTCAGTTTAAGGCCAACCTGAATTATATAACATGACCTGTCTCAAAAAATAAAAATAAAAACCCAAAACTAGGAGGCTGGGGATTTAGCTCAGCGGCATAAGCGCCTGCCTTGCAAGCAGGCAGTCTTGAGTTTGATCCCTGGTACCAATAAAAACGAAAAAGACAAAAAAAAAAAAAACCCAAAACTAATAAAATAAATTAATTTTTTAAAATATAAAAATAAAATCCAGGCATGGTGGAAAATGCCTATAATCCCAGCACTTGGGAGGTTAGGGCAGTAGGATCACTGTAAATTCAAGGCCAAGCTAGGCTATATAGCGAGTTAAAGGCTAGCCTGAACTACATGTTGAGACATTTTCTCAGAAAAAAAAATATGTATATATATATATATATATATATATATATATATATATGATCAAAAAGACCTGGAAGCCGAGTGTGGTGGTGCATGCCTATAATCCCAGCACTCATAAGGCTGAGGCAGGAGGATTGCTAAGAGTTTGAGACCAGCCTGGGCTACAAAATGAGCTCAAGGCCACCCTGAACTGCACCCTGTCTCAAAAGACAAAAAAAAAAAAAAAAAAAAAAAAAAAAAACCCTTGGAAACATAGCTCAATGGTAGAGCATCCTAGGATTCCATCCCCCATACCACCACAAAAAATAAAGAAAAATTTTTTAAAAAGTTTAATTGGATACAATGACACACACCTGTAATCCCAGCAGTCACAACTTCAAACCCAGCCTGGGCAATTTGGTGACTGAGGATGTAGCAGAGCAAAGACTCTTGATTTAATCCCCAGTGCTGAAAAAAAATAAATGAATGTCCCTATCATCACAAAAAGGACCCTAGAACCAACAGGCACCAAGTTGGCCATTGTGATGGCAATGGCAGGAGCACCAATGGAGCAAGATAAGACATGGAGAATAGACCTCTGAACCCTATGGTATTAGTGATATAAGTAATCTAGAGATTAAAGTTCATTGATGTGTTGTTTATAGCAAATACTGAGCCATTTTACGTAAGAGACATGAATAACTACAGGTTTTTGTATCCAAGTTGTTGGGGCAGGGAGGATTGTCCCAGAACCAATCCCCTGTATTTAAGGAGATATTAAGGTTAAACAAGGTCATAGGGATGGGGCCCTAATCAAATAAGACTAAGGCCTTAAAAGAGGAAGGGACATCAGAGATCCAAAAAGGGCATCTTGAGATAGAAAATATGGCTTGACCCATCTGTGTTCCCTCTGAAGGGAGTGTGAGCTGACTGGCAGTTGTCATGCTCCTTCCTCCTGACCCCAACAGGTTGCCTGGGGCAACTAAGGCTAAGATCTTCTCTTCATTTCCACAGTGGCTGCCTTCTAGGCCTTAGTAACAGGAGTCAGACTTGACTGACAGCTGTGACCCCCTTCCCTACTCTAGGGGCTGCTACAGCCTCTCTACGGAGCTTCCAGACAACTACGCCTGTCAGGCAAAGATCAGGAAGGGACTGGAACTCATCACTGATATCCCCCAAGTCCCTAAATCTGAAAGGGCTAAGATAAGCATAGCTGGCCCTCCTGGAAATGCCTAGAAGGCAGCACTAATCATGATTCCTGCCCTGTCACTTTTGTGGGGATGTGGCGGCTGTCAGTTAAGCAGTTGCTACTCCTGAAGTTTACAGGAACTGTTGCAGAAGCTGCAATTGTCCTGGATACCTGGTACCACTCTAGGAGGTACTGGCATTGGTCACACAAGCTTGAAACATGGACCTGTCCTGATAACAGCCCTGTCTTGTCACCTTAAGACATTTCTGTCCCCTTGCCATTACTGTGGAAGTCAAATATATTTATGAAAAATATAAAACTACATGCACAATCTATTCCTGTATTTAAAAAAAAGAGGCCAATGCTTTCTCTCACTCCTCTGGTCAGTCCAGAAGGGCTCCCTCTTGTACATGATCTCCCGATACTATGGCACAGGTCCAAATAAAGCCTCCCTAGGTGGTCTTATA